TCTCTCTCTCTCTCTCTCTCATACATACTCATACACAATCACACACACACACACACACACACACACACACACACACACACACACACACTCATTTGCTGGTTGGGCACTTAAACCTACTCTTACATAGACCACTCAATGAAGGACTTGTGAAATGGATCTCCCATGAATTGACTTTGTTTTTTAGAGGGCAGAAGCCTGGGTCTTTCCAACCCTATAGTAACAAGCAGTGGCTCTCCCTAAGCTGCACTTGAACACATCTTTAATTTCCTGAAAAACCAACCACGTTACTCTGGGAATAGCCAGAAAGTATCCCCTTAACCACACCTAAGAAGAACAATGGATATTTATTAAAGAAACAAAGGACACAACCATATATGCCATGGTCTAGAGAGGCAAATCACATCTCCTATGGTATTTCTGAGGGTCACAAAATGGAACAAAAGGGAAAGTGTTGAAGCCCTGAGGACACACAAATATACATCCTCACTACTGTTTGTGTGACACTTTTGACAAATCACACAATGTCCTCAATGCCCAATTTGTTCTGTAAGAAAAATGCCTGCCCAACCAATCAGTGAATTAGAGGGTAAATGAAATAAAATACTCCTTTCTTCCTGCTTTTTCTTATCCACTTTTATAATTATAGACTCGCCAACTTGAGCCCTTGTCCCAGGTCTGAGTAATACTAGTTCAGATGCGCTATGCTTTGTTTCCAAGCAAAAAGAACATCCTATTTGATGATAAAAAGGTTTCCATTAAAAACAGAAAGCAGATAAAAGGGGGACCTTCAGCCACAAGGCCTCAGTTAATTCATAAAAACATGGGATGAGTCATGTTGCCTCTCAAGGCAGAAACTTATAATCAATGGGCCTCTTTGGCTAGCCAATCCCAGCCCAGCGGAGGATGACAGACCCAGCAGGCCATCTCCACAAGCTATTCCAATGCGGCCTTGCAAACTGATTAATTCTGCTTCTCACTTGGTGAAAGGGAAAAATCAATCTGAAGCTCTTTGCCATACTATATTCCTAGTACAGACCAGGTCTGTGTGGCTTTCTGAATAAGCAGGGCTTCTGTAGTAGTGTGTGTGTGTGTGTGTGTGTGTACATACATGCAAATGTGCATGTGTTCGCGTGTGTGTGTGTGTGTGTGTGTGTGTGTGTGTGTGTGTGTACATGTGTGTGGCTGCATTCAAGAGCAGGTCTGTATGTCAGTCTCTGAAAATCACCTCCTCATTTTCATCTTGAGATTACTTCAAAATGTCCCTGCTCCTGCAGGCATTTTCTTGTTGTTAGCACAGGGCTACTGAATGCAGAAGCTGGGGAACACAGACGTACTCATACTGCAACTAAAGCTCTTTTCTTGAAATTGTGGCCCCAATAGTTATTCTCTGAATATAGCTTTGAATCCTAGACCTCAATCTTCAGTGTGAATTAAAGTTCATAAATACACACACATACACTTGTGTATATTGTGTGTCCATAGGTGCACCATATTTTTGATGAGGCCATTAAGGAAGGGGAGTTATTCATACATGTTTTTAATTATATTAGGTAGATGGTCTTCCATCAACGAGTATAGAAAAATGATGACTCCACGACCCTCCTCCAATCTACCCCCTCAATCCATTCACCCATCGCCACTTACTTAGAATATGCACTGTGCCAACTCTGTTGGATGCTGGTGGTTTATTGGTGAAGGGGGCAGGTAATACCTCTACCTGCTGGGATCAATCACCTTGGCTTCCTAAGAGTTAATGAAAAGAACTGCACCAGATCCCCAGATTGGCCAGAAGCTTCTCTTAGCTTGAATTCCTCTCCTCACCTGAGAAACCTCCAAACAGTGTTTAAAGTCAAGCAGGATCAGCATCATGTATGAAGAGCTAACCATGGATCACTGCTCGCTGCTCCCACCAGCTGCCTCCCAATCTGGCAAATAAAACCCACCTGCTGTCAAGGTGGTGAAGGGGCCAAAGGGAGCTCTTTGCATTTTTCTTGCCCTTAGATCAAGTTGCAGATGCCGGCTTTCTTTCCGGATCTGTCCTAGGGAGGTTTGAGTCAGCTGCTATTTCTATGAAGTAGGGACATCAGGGGCTTAGGAAATCCATCCAACAACCCTTGTTAAGAATCGTGGTTACTACAGAACGCTGAGCCTAGTGAGCAGCTCCCCACTCCACTTGACTTCAGGGGCATGGCGGTTTGTGCCCCCAAGCAGAGAACAGTTTTCACACTTACACACTGCGGGGAATCACAGCTGGTCTAGTCACGTCTCCCCAGGAGGAATGGGAATAGAGGGTCTCTTAAAAGTGTGGGCTCCTTCTGAGAGCAGCTTAGGAGTTCCTGAAGAACACGATCTGGTTTTCCCAGCTACCCGGAAAGGCATAAGGTGCAGTGGGGGAGAGAGGGTGGGATACATCCCTGGCCTCGCCTTTCACCCAGCTTAGGTTGGGTGATTTAACTCTCTTGAGTTAAATCTCAGCTCCTGTTTTCATGTAAGTCCGGGGAAAGAAATGCACAAGGGTGAGGGTGGCGGCACCCAGTCCTGCACCCTGTCCTCAGCCCCATCTGAATGCACAGAGGTGAAGAGAGAGATCGAGTGTCAAGTCCCAGCCAGGTCACTTACTGGCAGCAGAGTGATTTTGGCAGATCACTCATTCCCTCTGAGGCTCCCTTTTCTCACCTCTAAAGCTGGGTACCTGGCTTACTGGGGCTCAGGAAGTAGTAAATGCGATCGCATATGTAAAACTCCAAAAAACGGCACCGGGAACCGTACGAATACGGCAATTGCTATTTTTCAAACCACGTAAACGATCAATTCCCACCCTTACATCCTTCCCAGTGTTGCAGCTGAGTTGTCCTACAAGAGGGGCACGACGCAATCTTCCTGACTTCAAGTCCTGGGAACCACTATCCTTCCTGTCACCCTATATCTGCTGTGGGGAGAAGGGCCACCTCTGAGCATCCTCCCCTGGCTCCACTGGCTTGGGCTGGGAGTGGGGGAGCTCTGAAAACCAAGTATGGGTGTAGAGAGGGCGCCCGCTGCCTGTGGGTACTAGGTACCTGGGCAGCATCCCCAACCTAGGTTCTCCCACCCACTCCCGGAGCGCCCAGCGCGCAAAAGAGAAAAACCAGAAAGTCGTGGATACTGGACCAGGCTTTGACGCGGATCTTGAGCTCGCCGTCCTGTGGCTCTGGCATGGCCTTTCTGGAGAGCCTCAGCTTGTTGAGCCCGCCGAAGCCGGCCAACACCACAGCGCGCATCTCCTGGGCATCCCCAAGGCGGTGGGAGCCGTCGCCGCCCTCAGCAGGCTCCTTGCTGGTCTCCTTCTCGATCATCTGCTCGGTCTCCTCCGCCTTCTCTACGCCTTCCTTGGCCATGGCGCGCGAGGGGTCGCGGGGCGCACAGGCAGCGGCTATGAGGAGGGTCGGGGCTTCTCTGCCGCGGGCTCCTCCTGTTGAATGTAGGATGCTCTTCAGTGCAATGGCTGCAACCTCTGAGAGCGGAGCCGCGGTCCACCGCCTCCGCCGTAATCCTCAGAGGAGCCGCGCCCTCGCGCCCCACCTCCCCCACGCCCTCACATTTCCTCCTGCTTCAAATCAAACCTCAGGTCCAGCTTTTGTGCGGATCCCAAATTAGGTTTTGGTCGTAACATTCAAAACGGATTTTCCCCCAAGACTCTTGAATAAAACACAGCAGGAGCGGCTGCCTGGACACCCCAACCCCGGGTGTGGGCTCAATACTTGAGTATATACGGCACAGACTCTGGCGCCTTGAAATGGACAGAGATGAATGTCTGGGCCTGGAGGATGCTGCCGCGAGACAAGGTTGCCTCCTCTCCCGCGGGTAGGCAGGGGTGGGCGGGACAGCCGGGAAATTGGGCTGTTTACCATCTGCTGGTTCTGAGTGGAACCGCAGGGAGGTGCGGGAAGTTAGAGATCCCTCCCAACCAGGGCTCTGAAGGGCCAGGTCCAGTCTTTTCCCTCTGGACCCCTTGTCATGCGAGATGCTCTTCCTGGGCTTCTCCTGAGGCTTCCTTATGACAGTTAGTTCCTAGGACCTATGCTTTTTTTGAGCAAAGAGACTCCAGAAAAATTCGGTCCCAGAACAGATCTGGTTCTTGCTGGGATAGAAGAATAAGAACCTCCTGGACAACACACACACACACACACACACACACACACACACACACACACACACACACACACACACAGAGTCTTGTTTTGAAAGTTTATAGAAAAAATGTGTACTTTCTCCAGCAGGGTGTGGCGACACGTCTGCATAGTCCCAGCACTCACGAAATTGAGGTAGGAGAGAAACCCTGTCTCAATGAGCTTAAAGGAGTAAAGCATTAATTGCCAGGCAACCGAGGTCCAACGTCTTTAATTCCAGCACCTGGGAGGTAGAGACAAGGTGGGTCTCTGTGAGTCTAAGGGCAGCCTGGTCTACATAGTGAGCAGACTGGCCAGGGCTACATAGTGAGACCCTGTCTCAAAAAATAAAAAATAGCAAAAACTATAGATGCAATCCAAGCATGTCTATCATATAATAAATTCTAACTCTTAAAAAAAGTTCATTTGTGCTGCCTTAAAAGATGATATAGGAGTTGCCCTGTGCAGTTTAAGGAAAGAGACACAATTTCTCATCAGGTGCACATTTCAGTTCAGGTAAATTCTACCTTTGAGATCTCAAGTGATATTTACTCTTCCTGAGTCCCAACACCCATATCCACTGTCCTAGTTTCATCATTGCTGTGATGAAACACCATGATCAAAGCGACTTGGAAGAAAAGAGTTTATTTCAGCATGTACTTCCAGGTAACAATCCATCTCTGAGGAAAGTCAGGGCAGGAACTCCAACAGGGCGGGAACCTGGAGGCCGGGACTGATGCAGAGGACATGGAGGACTATTGCTTATTGGCTTGCTCCTCTAAGCTTGCTCAGCCTGCTTTTTTTAAGAACCCAGGACCACCAGCCCAGGGATGGTACCATCCACAATGGGCTGGAACCTCCCCTGTCAATCATTGATTTAGAGAATGCCTTATAGCCATATTTTATGGCAGTATTTTCTCAATTGAGGTTCTCTACTTTCAGATAACACTAACTTGTGTTAAGTTGACATAAAACTACCCAGCACATGCACAGAATGGGCACATTCCTTTTGTGTTCTGCATGGTGTAAAGTGCTATGGTGGATTAGCTCAGTGATTGTGAGGCTCTTGGTCTCAGTGAGTGAGACTGGTAGGGCAACGATTGCAGGAACAGGGTAGAATGGTGTTACAACAGTCTCTCCCCATTCCATCCTTTCTGTGCCTCTCTGTTTTCAAACTTTGACCTTTACCTGGAAAAAGTCATTATGTCATCCCCATCTTAACTCAGAACTCTACACCTGCTGTGCCCTTGAACTTGGATGTTCAGCCTGCCACCTTCATCAGGGGTTAATTCCTTTACCTACTCTCATCCAGAGCATCAATTTTTCATCAAAGTTCACTAACTCCCAGGCGGGGTTCTTCACTGTAAAAAATGCATGTCAGTTTGTAAGTATAATATGGTTTATTTAGCAATGTCTCATTCCCTAGCCCAACTTAAACTTCAGGTGGATAGGAGCTGTGCTACTTTTAAGCAACCTTGTTTTCCTAGGTGTAGCTCATGATTGGTCCATAAACATGTTTGTTGGATGAATGATTTAGCCAAAGGAAGCAGATGCTTCTGTGGAATCCCGGAAGATGGAACTATGAACTCATCCTATAAGGTTGGAGGCATTCTCGGGGAGGAGGGGGCATGTTAGCCAGTTCTGCAGATCAAGAAGATTCTAGACCCACTGAGGCATACAATGGTGACAGGTAAAGGCGGTCTTCAGATAATGCTCATCTGTCCTGTGAGCTGTAGTCCTTACAGAGGAGCTGAAGGAAGCAACATTTGAGGCTGGTCTTTGAAACATGTTTTTGTTTTGTTTTGCTGTTTTTTAATTACAAATCATGCAGGTGATGGGCACCACTGAAAGCTTCAGATTAAAAAAAAATGAGGGACCAGTATTACCAGAACTGCATTTTGGGGTAATAATGTTGGCGATAAGTGGGCTGTGGGTGAGATGATAGAGTCCCTGGAAGCATGGTGATCAGTTAGAGATGAGAGCATGGGCAATGGAAGATGATGCAAAGGACAGGGGTTTCTCCTGAGGCAATGGCTATGTGTGGGAGGGAGAGGGCAGACAGAGGCAGAACAGAAGGTCCCCTTTAGTGAACTGAACTTTATCGTAAACCCAATTAAGAACCCTGATCACATTGTGAGATAGAGTCTTTAGGCTAGATTCAATCCTGGAACAAGAATTGGAACAAGTGCCCATGGTTTATTTTGGAGGTAATCCCAGGAAGCTTTGGTTATAAATTAGGAAAGTGAGACAGGAAAATGATAGAAGCCAATACAGGATGCCTTTAAGAGCAGATTACCACTGTGGGTGAGTGGGGTTAAAACCATAGAAGACCTTTGGGATACATTGTGGATGAAATACATCCCAGAGTTGTCTCATCCAAGAAGCAGGGAAATTGTTATTTACTCTCTACACTCTGTATATGACTGGCCAAGAGCTGATCCTGGAAGTGTTTGCTCTGTCCTGTCCTGGGTATCTAGGCAGAGAGAATACCAGGCTGAGAACTTTAGCTGCTCTCCGTGAGAGGCTGTCACTTTACACATGGAGAAGTGAGTAGAGGTTGCTTTGGTGTAAATAGCATTGCAATATATGGTGTTGTGTTGGCTGTCTACTGTTCTAGACATTGCATAATAAAATCTGATTCTCAGAATAACCTCATGAGGTAAGAATGACCATTTCCACCTTACAGAAAGAAAATTGAGTCTCAAATGACTCAGCATATGGAACACCTCAGTTCTTTTGAATAAGATAAAAACAAAAACAACAACAACAAAAAAAAAAAACAAAAAACAAAAAACCTGACTCCAGGTTCCTGCTCTTAGCATTTCCCATGTGTGTTTGTTGAACTGGGTATAATCAGTTATGCCTCTGATTAATATTACTCATTGGAATTGTTAAATGTGTCTGCTCCTTTCTTGGACTTCTAATATCTCTATTTCACCAAGGCTCTTTGTGTTGTTTCTAAGCATTTTCCTTTGGCCCAAAGGAAGTAAATCTACGCTGTAATTCACACACTGCATATTTAGGAGATGGTGTTTGTCTTATACAGTGTGTTAAGTGGAAGATAATTATTCCCTACAAGTGAGTCTTCTGGCTGTTAAAAAACCCCAGATTGTAACTGGTAGACAGCTGATATTCACAACAACCAAGAAGGGATACACCACACTTTGAGCTACTTGGAGAAGAATACTGTCCTTTGAGTCCCATATAACAATTTAAGTAAGCATTTGTAACATTGTTCCTCTCTAGTATAATGTGGTGGAAGCTATGATGGCTGGCATAACTCCACATAAACAGTAAGTCAGCTTTTATTTGGTGTAAATGGGTTATTCCAAGTATTCTCATGGCACTTCCCTTGAGAAGTACCTTCCCATAAAGGGCAATGTCAAACACTGACATTGTACCACTGCAGGCACGATGAGGTATTGCAGCTCAGCTCTAGACTGTTAATGGCTCTCAGAAAAGAGCAGGTGTTCCTGAATGAGTGTGTATGTGAGTGCATGCATGCCTGCATGAGTGCATGTGTGTAGGGGGCGGGGAGGAGAGAGATAGAAAGAGAGAGGGATGGAGGCAGGAAAGGGGGTAGGAAAGGAAAGGGAGAGATTTTTTTCTTCTAGACAGGGTTTCTCTGTGTAGCTTTGGAGCCTGTCCTGGAACTCACTCTGTAGACCAGGCTGGCCTTGAACTCAGAGATCCACCTGCCTCTGCCTCCTGAGTGCTGGGATTAAAGGCGTGTGCCACCACGCCCAATGAGAATTTAAGTAAAGAGGAACAGAGTGTCAGGTGAAGCCTAACAGTCTAGTTCAAGTGATGTATATTGATTTAGGTTGGGTTGCCCAGAGGCAAACTTTTCTTAATCCAGAAAGTAAAAAGATACAGGAAATAATACAAAACAATATTAATACTAGTTTATAAATGATTAGCTAAATAATTTGAAATGGCTCAGCAAGATTCTAGAGAAATACACCCCTTGTATGATGATCCGTGCATCCAGATGCACTCTTTAACCAGGTTTGGTCCACTGCATCATCCTCAGTCCTGTTAGAATAACTGGTTATTCGTAAATCACAATCGTTACTCTTCAGGATACTCTTGTGCCTTAGGAACTACTATTCCTATTTTACAGAGGAAACATTTGCAAAAAGCTGAAGAGCTTTCCCAAGATCATTTCCTCAGGGGAGCCATGTCACTTTGAAACATGACATCTTAACCATGATTTGATAATATATATGGTTTTATGCTATTCCATCTTTCTAACTTTTTGAGGATTTATTTATTTTATAGGCACCCGTGGGAGTACCTGAGTGTATTTGTGCACCACCTGTCCATATACAGGAGCCCATGGAGGTCAGCAGAGAGCATCAGAGTCCCTAGGTCTGGAGTGACAGGCACTTATGAGCTACTGTGTGGATTCTGTACAAGAGGAGCAAGTGCTCTTACCCACTGAACCATCATCCCTCCAGCCCCTACATACCTTTATTTTTAAGGATACTACTTACCTCCAATGAGCCACAATCTTGTCTAGTTTAGTCACATCCTCTTGCAAAGGAGGTGGCGGCGGTGGCGGCGGGGCGGTGGGGGGGGGGTGTAGTGTTCTGTCAGTGAAGTGACAGAATCACTGAAGAAAGCAGGAGTTCAGTGACAAGGGGAGAGACAATATTGGGAGTAATAGTAGGACACTAATAGATGACACTGTGGGATGGTGGATGGACGGTATGGGGAATAAAGGGAATTCCCAGGTTCCCTTGTCCAAGTACAACATCACTTAAATAACTCTGGCCCATGAGACTTGAGGCTATTTTCCCAAAAATTCCTCCAAAACATGTTTTCTTTAAAAAAAAAAAGATTTATTATATTATTTGTGTGTGTGTGTGTGTGTGTGTGTGTGTGTGTGTGTGTGTGTGCGCGTGCATACATGGCCATGTGCATGTAGGTGTCCATAGAGACCAGAAGAGGGTGTAAATCCCTTGGAGCTGGAGTTCCAGGGGCTTCTGAGCTGTCTGAGGTGGATGCTGGGAACTGAACTCTGATCTCTTGAAAGAGTAGCAAGCACTTTTAACTGCTAAGCCATCTCTCCAGCCCTAAAAATACATTTTTTTGTCCTATTTCATGTTCTTTGTCTCCATAGAATTCAATTGCAGTTTAATGAGAGAAACTAATAGGAAAACTCTGTTCTTTTTTCATAACTTGGAGGTGCTAGCCCTAAGAAGAGCATTTTAGATCTGTATTTGCCAGATCACAAATGATTAAAATTGGGATCATTTTACCTGCTCTTTCTTTCTCTTTTATTCACAAGCAGCTATTGTCTATGGAGAGATGATTTTTATTGATTGTTTTGCATTGCTTGGTAAACATGGCTGGCCAAGTGTGGAGGAGAATATACCACATGGGACCAGGTGAGGAAATTTAAATGAAGCAGTTTATGGTTTTGTAACTTCATTCATGCTACAAGATGATTTCTGAGTGATTTCTTTTATCCCCTTCTGCATATTTTGGTGGGTTTTCCCCTCGTATGAGGCTGTGTGATTTCTTCTATGAATTATCACACAGTAATGCTGTCTGCTCCTTCCAAATGCTGCGTAGAGATGTGTTTCCCCAAAGCACTTTGGTATAGATCATTGTGAATAATGGCAACTGAACAGGGATGTAAAATCCAGGTTTAGAAGCAAATAAAACCTTGACTTCTCAGATAGGGTCCAGTAGAAACCAGATCTGGGGAGGATTCTTCCCTGCATGCATCCTTCCTTCCTTCCCTCCCTCCCCCTCCCTCCCTCCCTCCCTCTCTTCCTTCCCTCCTTCCTTCTCTCCCTCCCTCCTCCTTTCTCCCCTCCCCCTTCTTCTTCCCAGATTATTACACTACACACCAGGGTGAACTAGCACTGCAGCTACCTTGGCTCTCTTATTTCCCTGACAGATCTGGTTTGAGCTGAGCCAGGGTTTTTTTTTTTTTTCTCCTCCCAGAGTGCTGTTTCTGTTATTATTTTATTGGCCAGTATCCAGTTTGTTGGCTTTTTCTCAGAGTCATGACCGTGCGAAGCTGTAAGATCTGGATGCAGCAGAGAATACGGGAAGGGCACACTTGGCCTTTTCTTTTCTGAGGGTAAATGGCTTAATTTCCAGGAGAGGGGAAACATCCTTCAGGGACAGGAAGGAGTCCTACCCATCGCCTCTTAGCAAGTACCTCCTCTTCACAGAACTTACATAAAGTAAGTGGGCAAGAAAGATTATTCCACCATCTGTCACTCATTTATCCATCCACCAGTCCAGCCACCGAGTCTCTAAATTCTTAATATGTACTGAGCAAAGCCACCGTGTAACCATGACCACGTTCCTTAAATTTTCTGAAGGAAAAAATTGGGGGGATTTATATATTGTATTTTCATGGGAGGGTGTTTTGCCTGTATGCATGTATGTGCACCATGTGCATGTCTCATACCTACAGAGGTCAGAGGTCAGAAAATAGCATTGGATCCCCTGGAACCGAAGTTATGGATGATTGTGAACCACAATGTGGGCTCTGGGGATCCAATGAGGGTACTCTGAGCATTATGTAAGTACTCCTAACAATTGAACCATATCCCTTGACCTTTCAATCTTTCTTTTAAAAAATCTATTTGTGTGTGTGTGTGTGTGTGTGTGTGTGTGTGTGTGTGTGAGAGAGAGAGAGAGAGAGAGAGAGAGAGAGAGAGTACACATGGCATGCACGCGCACAGACATATGTGTGTGTATATGGAGGTCAGAAGTCAATGTGTGATGTCTTCCTCACTCACTATTCTTTTATTTTTTATATATAGACAATGATGCTCATTGAACACAGACCTAGAATGGCTGGCCAGTAAACTCCAGGTATCTGTCTGTGTTCTTCCCAAGTGCTGGAGTTACAGATAAAGGTACCTGAGTTGTGGTGTTCTGAACTTTACCAGCTAAGCCAGCTCCCCAATGCAAGATTCTTAATCTGTATTGTTTCATTTCCTAATTTGTAAAATATAGGTATTGATCACTTACTTTGATCCCAGACACTGTTCACATCCCAGTGTTCCCAATTCCCGACTGTGTGAATTTTGGGCTCTGAGATGTTAAGACAGTTTGCACCTGAAATGAGAATCAGATAACTAATTTGGAGGCATGTAAAAAACTGTATGGGATACATGACAAACCCTGAGTATCATTTCTCACACACAGTAGTTGATTAAGGCATAATAACTACTTTTCTACTTGCTTCATGAACAGGGCCTGGTGCCTTCCTTGTGGGCAAAGAACATATAAACCACATGCTGTGCTGCTCCAAGGATGAAGGGCCAAGGTAAACAGAGGGAAAGCTCCTGGTTCCTAGAGTTGATCAGGCTGTCCATTTCAGACCTGGCTTCATTTACCTCTTCCTAACCGTATAACCACTGCTGAAGTTCCATATGCTTTCTCTCTGTGTGTCTCTGTTTCTGTCTGTCTGTCTGCCTCTCTGTCTCTGCCTCTCTGTCTCTGTCTCTCTGTCTCTGTCTCTCTGTCTCTCTGTCTCTGTCTCTCTCTCTGTCTCTCTCTCTGTCTCTCTCTCTCTCTCTCTCTCTCTGTGTGTGTGTGTGTGTGTGTGTTTATTGCTTAATTTGCAAAATGTGTATATTGATCATGCTGTCTTCCCAGATTTGTGGGGAAATTTAAAGGAAGCAATCCAAATCGATGTCTGTGCTTGGAAAAAGCATGCCTTACTTGAAACTCCCTTTAGTATGTCACTTAGTATTTTAACCACTGTTTAACTGAGAAAGGTTAGGGCTCCAAGCTAGCCTTTTCTAAAGTCCACTGAGTGGTACATTGGTCTCTTAGGATACTGATGGATGCAGAGTTAAAGGGGATTCTATAGTCAAATTAACTGGGGACACAGGGGTCAAGTGCAGTTAGGCAGCTGTCTTTAATCCAGATTTAGAACCTAGTGTAGCACGATTCTTGAACCTCCAAATGGAGCTATGGAATAGAGCTTCACCCAAGCATACTTGACTTCCAGGCCTTTTCCAGTGAAGCTCACAAGGGTGACAATTTCAGTGTGTCATGGAGAGAAGGCTACTGTGGGCAAATCAGTCCATAATTACTTTTGAGTATTTGCCCAGCATCAGATACCATGGAAGGGCAACAAGAAAATGCCGTGATCTTGCCCTCAAATTTCTGAGAGGCTTATTAAGAGAAAACAGAGCCAAAGAGTTTTGAAAACACTTCACTCTAAATTTGGCACCACAATGCATGTGAGTCAAATGAAATGGCTCTTGCGTGGGGTGCAATAGGGAGTGGAAGGGTCTGAGATAAACAGTGGTGTGGGGGGCATTCTGAAGGGGAGAACTATCAACTCAACCTTGACTCACTGTGTCAGTTGATTTTTCTCTTGCTTGACAGATACCAAAAGGAAAGTATTTTAGAGGAAGAATTTGTTACCACTTATGACTTCAGAGTTTCTAACCTTCTGTCTGCTGGCTTCTTTGTTTCCTGGCTGTGGACAGATAGAATATCTTGGTGGAACAGAGCTGCTCAACCTCATGGTGACCTGGAAGCACAGGCAGGAAAGGACAAGTTACTCTTTGGTGACACATTCCTGGTATCCCACTTACTTACTCTAGCAAAGCCCCACCTCCTAAACTTTCCACTGCCTCCTCAGATAGCACCGCCAGCTGGGGACAAAGCCTTCAATCCATGAGCCTGTGGAGACATTTTGTATTTAAACTCTAACAGCCATGATTGCCAGGTAAGGATGTGAGCTCAGGATTGCCAGATCTTTTAGATATTCACAAGAATCGAGTAGTCTAGATTTTTTTATGCAAAATACACCAAATTTATAAAATCCTTATGAATATAACATTGGATGAACACAGCATGTCTGTGAGTCAAATTTAGCCACATGGCTTCACTTTGCAGTCTTTGGTCTTTGCCAATCATTATCAGGTGGGATAAATTTGTTCCTTCGGTCATTTGCCAATGCCTGGGTATATTTTTGTCACAACTGGCATTACAGGCAACTAAGGGATAGAGGCTGCTAAATACCTTTGTCAATAGAAAATAATTAGTACATCCATGATGTTAAAAGTGCTCACTCTAAGCCACAGGTTCAGATGTCGGGAATGTGTGACTCTGTGGTTTTTGTCCTCCTGCCTGTGTGACTTTGGAAATGTCCTTGTTCTAGTTGGTAAAAGAAGATATTTGTGCTAATTAATGCTCCAGGGACTTTCCGGCCTAGGGCTTGAGGTCATATCAGTCCTCATACTGGCAGTGACCTGGCACAAAGGCTCTCTGCAGAAATGTCCTTGATGGGAAATGATAGCTATGGATAAGACAACACAGGCTAGGAGTGTTCCCAACCTGGAATACTGTCTGTCCTTTGGATGAGTTCCGAAGCTCCTTTCAATTCTATCTCACTCAAGGCACTTGAAAAATTTGAAGCTGATGTTGCAAGGCTCCTAAATCATCCTGTACAATTTTGTTTTTAGAGACTGTTCATATTTTCAGAGAGGAAAAGAAATCAAAGGACACACTCTAATTTGATATGTCACTGCCCTTCTGAATAGAGACAGCCTTTCAGATATGGACTTTGACTCTCGTCATTGTGTGTGCCTGTGTACCTCCTTGGCCTTCATGAGCAAAGTTATTATTTGATCTTCAGGATTTAATTCAATTGTGCCCACAGGGTTAGTGAGGCAGACTGTTAAATGAGGTATATGGAGGAAGGGTGATGCCAGGCTAGGAGCAGCAGGGATGGACAGAAGGCACATGATGCAGCTTGCAGGCTCCCATGCTTAAACACAGCTCACTGCTGAGCATGCTCATCCCCAGGCAGCCTGAGTCACTCTGACTGTTGTCTTAGTCTGGGATTATAGAACAACATACGTTGAGTGGGCTTATTTTATAAATAAGAAAGATCATGGTTCTGCAGGCTGGAAATCTAAGATGAAGCTGGCGGCAGATTTGATGTTTGTGAAAGGCCTCTTCTGATTTATAGCAGGGGTCTTCTAGCTTCATCCTTCCACAGTAAAAGGATGGAGGGGGCTATTGTGTGTATCGCTGATAAGGATACTGAGCTAATTCCATTTGTGTTGCTCTAGTAAAACATTCTGACCAAAACTAACCCAGGGGGGAGACAAATTTTATTTGGCTTACAATTCCAGGTCACAGTCCATCACAGAGGAGAGATCAAGGCATGAACTCAAAGCCACTAGTTACATCATATCCACAGTCAAGAGAAGAATGAATAAAATGGACACATGGTTGCCTTTCAGCTGTTTCTGCTCAACCGGCACTCTTGCATGATGAAATGGTGCTACAGACATTCAGGGTGGATCTTCCCACCTCAAATAATAATCAAGACCTGTCCCTCAAAGACATGTCCACTGATCAACCCCATCTAGACAGTTCCTCAACTGAGGAAATTTTTCAGGTCATTCTAGGTTGTGACAAGTTGTCAATAAAAAGCAAGCCATCACAGATAGTAACCCCACTCATGAGGATCGCTTAGTCACCTCCCCAAAGACACACCCACCAATACAATCACCTCAGGGATGAGCTTTTCAATCATAAACTTAAATATCCAGTCTTCTGTATTACCCTTGTTGGTACCATAGCCCCTTTCTTTAATATGCAATAAGATTTTTCTAACTGGGATATATTTATTGGGAGGAAAAGCTGCTAGAGAAGAGACAGGGTCACTCTTTCAGGATTTCTGGATACTGACCCCACCAGCCTTCCAAGAATAGGCGTGGCTTTAGTAATGCTAAGTTTCCTTCAGAGTCCCAGTCTGTCTATAGCATTTGATTTAACATCAGTTAAATTTAATACTGATTGCTATGACAAGTTATTCATGGCAGTGCAAACCTGAGGATTCAAGAGTCATAACAAAGTAAACCCCTGCCCCAGATAAAAAAAATTCCATTTGCTTTCCCACTCCATCTCTCCCCCAGCTCGACCATCCTGTTCCCTCATGTTCTCATCCCCCATCCCCTATCCTCTATTGCCCCCATCCCCAGTTTGCTCATGGAGATCTCATCTATTTTCCCTTCCCAGGGCAATTTATGCATCCCTCTTAGGGTCCTCCTTGTTTCCTAGCTTCTCTGGAGCTGTGGGTTGTAGTTTGATTGTCCTTTGCTTTACCTCTAGTATCCACTTATGAGTGAATACATACTGTGTTTGTCTTTCTGAGTCTGGGTTACCTCACTCAAGATGATATTTTCTAGTTCCATCCATTTGCCTGCAAATTCATGATGTTGTTAGTTTTTACAGCCAAGTAATACTCCATTGTGTATATGTACCACATTTTCTTTATCCTTTCTTCGGTTGAGAGGCATCTAGGTTGTTTCCAGGTTCTGGCTATTACAAATAATGGTGCTATGAACATAGTTGAATAAGTGTCCTTGGATATGATTAAGCATCCCTTGGGTATATGCCCAAGAATGGTATCATTGGGTCTTGAGGTAGATTGATTCCCAATTTTCTGAGAAACCGCCACACTGGTTTCCAAAATGACTGTACAAGTTTGCACTCCCACCAATAGTGGAGGAGTATTCCCCTTGTTCCGCATCCTCTCCAACAAGTGGGAGAGCAGTGAAAGAGATATCTTGATAGAGGGAGATATTATCAGGTAAGGGAGAAACTTGGAGCTAGGGAAATTCCCAGGAATTCATAAGGACGACCCCAGATTAGACTACTAGCAATAGTAGAAAGGGTGCCTGAACTGGCCTACGCTGGTAATCAGATTGGTGAATACCCTAACTGTGATCATAGAGCCTTCATGCAGTAACTGATGGAAGCAGATGCAGAGATCCACAGCCAAGCACCAGGCCGAGCTCCAGGAGTCCAATTGAAGAGATGGAAGAGGGATTATATGAGCAAGGGGGATCAAGATCATGATGGGGAAATCTACAGAGACAACTGAACTAAACTCAAAAGAACTCACAAACTTTACACCAACAGTTGTGAAACCTGCATAGGACTGGACTAGACCCTCTGCATACAGAGACAGTTGTATAGTTGGGTCTGTGGGGTCCCTGGCAATGTGATCAGGATCTATCCCTGGTGCATGAGCTGATTTTCTAGATCCTATTACCTACGGTAGGACACCTTGCTCACCCTTGATGCATCGGGGAGGGGCTTGGTCCTGCCTCAACCAAATGTACCAGGCTTAGCCTTCCCCTCATGGGAGAACTTACCCTGCTGGAGGAGGGGATGAGGAGTGGATCAGGGGGACAGTGGGAAGGGAGTAGGAGGAAGGATGAGAGGGGGATCTGTGGTTGGTAGTAAAATTTTAAAAAAAGAATAAGCACTTTAAAATGCTTACAGTAACTTGGTAAAGTCTAATAAAATAATTAAATTTGTACTTGCTTCTGTAGATGAGAGTTAATGCATAAAACATTCTATACCTTCCCTCTGAGTAGTGATTGCTCTTCCAGCAGCTTCCTATTCCTTTTACTTGTCAGGTTAGGAAGTCAGTCTACCAGCATGATAGATGTGTGAGCAAATATAGGTAGTTTGTGCCAGTTCCACATGCAGAATGTAGAGGTGAAGGGCAATGTTGACTGGTGGGCAGCTCTCTTGGTTTAGGTTTCCCTTAAAGCAGACACTGGAACTAACACTGGAGGCCTAGTTGACTGGGGTGGATCCCAGGAAGCAGTGGAAGCAGCGTGGGGAAGTCACATCTGGAATGAAAGAAAATGGGGAACAGGCACATTTTCAAACTACCTCAAGACCCAATGATACCACTCTTGGGCAAGGGTAGCTGGTTCTTGACTCTACTAGAGATCTCCAGAAGGTAGTGTGGATCATGCTTTTGAACTTTCCAAAGTGGCCACTAATGAAACTGGGACATTTATGAATGCTGTGGCCCTTTAATACAGTTTCTCATGTTGCGATGACCCCCAGCCATACAATTATTTCACGCCACTTTATAACTGTAATTTTGCCAGTGTTGTGAATCATAATGTAAAGATCTGATACACAACCCCTGTGAATGGGTTGGCCTCAAGGGGGTCATGGCCCACAGGTTGAGGACCATGGCTCTGTCAAGCATTCAACATTGCTTTCAAGAGAAAAGTAGTTTCCAGAACTCTTGTCTTGCCTTCCTTGTAGAACAAGCCATCACCAGTGTCCTCAGGCAGACAGTAGCAGGTGTTCAAAGCCAGCAGCTCCAGGAGGGCAGTGAGTGCAGAGGAATGCAGGCTTTGATGGGACAGCACTTGCTGGAGTGCATTGATTTAAACTGTTATTATCACTGTAGCACTTGTACAGACGAAAACCGACTATAATATTCTTATGCTTATAGTGCTAAACAGATTGTGCTAAGAAGCAAAACATGCTTGAATATTACATTTTCAAAGCAGTAAAACACAGCGCAAGTCAAAATAACGATACCTTGATGTGATGCATAGCATACTTTGGTCAAACAAGATAGAGATTTACAGTGCAAATATGCTGACTACCAAGAGGCCAATTATTCTGAAATCCATGTGGCTAGATCTTGTGATAACTATACCTCCCAGCTGAAAAAAAAAAAAAACCAAAAAACAAAACCCTAGTCTATAGCTATAAAGTTTTCAAGTTTTCACTGAACCCAAGCACACCATTTTGTCTTAACTTTTATTTTTTTAATTTTTATTTATTCTTTCATACAATACATCCCTACTACAGCCTCCCCTCCCTCCATTCTTCCCAGTCTCTCCTCCCATCCTCTGCTTCTCTGCTTCCCTTCAGAAAAGAGCAAGGATCCCAGGGATATCAACCAAATATGATATAACAAGATGCAATAAGATCAGGCACAAACCCTCATGTCAAGACTGGATGAGGCATCCCAGTAGGAGGAAAAAGAGCAGGCAACAGAGTCAGAAACACCCCTATTCCCACTGTTAGAAATCCCACAAGAATTCCAGACTAAAGAATCACAGCAAATAATGCAAAGGACCTAGCACAGACCCATGCAGGTTCTGTGATGGCCACTTCAATCTTTGTGAGCTCCTGTGAGCCCAGCGGTGGGTCTTGTTTTCCTGGAATTCTGGACACCGCTGTCTCCTACCATCCTTCCTCCCTCTCTTCAGAGGAGTTCCCAGAGCTCTGCCTAATGTTTGAGTGTGGGTCTCTGCATCTGCTACCACACCTGCTGGAAGAAACCTCTCTGATGACAATTGGGCTAGGCTCTGATCTGTGAGTATAATGGACTATCTTAACTTTTAATTTTAGTCAAATGAGGCTTTTAGTTGAAACTGGTTGACCTAGCACATTAAGGAAAAGGATCTATTGAAAAAGGTGGCGACCAGTGAGATGACTCAGCAGGTAAAATCGAGGCCTGATAACTTCAGTTCAATTCCCAGGACCAGCAAGGAGAGAAGCAACACCCTCAGATTGTCCTCTGACTTCCACACCGGTGTGGTGGCATGCCCATATGCAGACATACACATGCAAAATAAATTTTAAAATGCAGGGGGAGATAAGGACTGAGTTTCCTTCTTCTATGAGTAACTATCTTGTTTGGGCAGCAGCATTTGTTGAAGATGCTGTCTTTTCTTCAATGTGTATTGAAGAAATTGTATTGACAAGGATGTTGATCTCCTTGTCAAAGAGCATGTAGATGCAGTATGGTTGTAGGCTTATATAGAGAAAGGAACAAAGAAGAGCTAAGCATGGTGGCATATGTCTGTAATCTTAGTACTTTTGCATCTGAAATTTGAGGCCAGCTTGGGCTATCAAACAAGACCCTGCCTTAAAAAATAAATTCATAGCTGGGCAGCGGTGGCGCACGCCTTTAATTCCAGCACTCAGGAGGCAGAGGCAGGCGGATCTCTGTGAGTTTGAGGCCAGCCTGATCTACAGAGTGAGATCCAAGACAGGCACCAAGACTACACAGAGAAACCTTGTCTCAAAAAATCAAAAAAATGAACAAATAAATAAATTCATTGAAACAAATGATGTTGGGAAGCTCACAAAATCCCTGGGATCACTAGGACTCTGCAGAAAAATGGGAAGAAATGAAACAGGGATTTTTAACTCGAAGGAAGAGGTGTCTACTGTGATTCACACATAGTTTGAGTGTGTTCCCCTAAAGCTTCACATGCTGGGCTTGTGGGCCCCAGTGTGCTCATGTTGAAGTCTTGAGATTTCTTTGAGGCAGGGATGCTGGACAGCAACGAGATGATAAGGTACAGCCTCTCAAGAATCAATACTGGTCTCTTGTGAACTAGTTCTTACAAAAGATGTATGTTATAAAACAAGGCTGCTAACTCACCTGTTCCTTCAGCATTTCCCTTTCCACTTCTGTTGTGTTGTGACCCAATCAAGGGGACCCTCAATAGAGGATGACTGAGGAGGTTACTCAGTCTTGGAATTTGGAGTCAGGAATCTGTGGAGTAAAATAATCTATAAAGTACCCAGGCTCTGGTTTTTGTTTATTTGTTTGTTTTTTGTCACAGCACTACAAACCAGACTGATAATATTAGTTATATCAAACACCAATGTCTACAGAGGAAAGAGCGCTAGAGGAATATTCAAGAATATCTTGTCTTTCTACAGTCCTTGCTCTGTAAATAAAGCTGACATGTGTTAGCTAATATTGTTCGGGCAGCTGTTTGTATTGACTTTGGTTAACAGAGAAGAGCTTCTTGCAAGAGGAGGTCGAGGCTGGCTTAACTGAAGGGAATTTATGCCTGGTACTACAAACATAGCCAAACACCTGTGGCCGGTGAAGTAATGGACCCTAGAGGAAAACCCACAACTATCACTTTCCTATACTCGTATAGTTTCCGACTGTGTTCTAAGTAACCATCATTATATTCACAGATAAGTGAAGCTCTCATCCCTCAGCAAGGAAGTTTCTTTTTTGTAGCAGACAGACCATTACAGAAAGCCACAGCTTGTCAAAATGCAGAGAACACAGAGCTACCTAACCCCAACTGATACATCTATAACACAATACCTACGGCTCAGGGCACATCACTGAAGA